GATTGTCATTTCCTTCTCCAGTCCATTTTACAGATGAGGAAACTGAGGTAAACAGGGTTAAATGACTTGCTCAGGGTCACACAGCTAGTAAAGTGTCTGAAGCCAGATTTGAACTCAGGTTCTCCTGACTCCTAGCTGGGCAATCTATCCACTGGGCCATCTAGCTGTCCTTTCTCTCTGTTAATTATCTCCAGTTTATTCTATATGTATCTTGTTTGCGTGTGGTTGTTAGCATGTTGTCTCCCCCATTTCACTGTGAGCTCCATTAGAGCAGCAACCGAGTTTTTATTATTTTGTTGTATCCCCAGCGCTTGGCACACAGTAGGTCCTTAATAAATGCTTATTGACTGCTTGCACTCTTTTCTAGACCTGTAATATCCTTCCTCCCCTTCTTGGTCTGTTTAATTCCTCCCCATCCTAGTTTATTTTGAGGGAACTCAAATACCAATCCCTCCAAGCATTCTTCTCTCCTCCCTCAGGTTTGTAAGGACCTTCCAAAAGAGGAGCAGTATAAAGGAGTGGGCAAAGAGCTGAATTGGAAGTTGGAGGACCTGGGTTTACCTCCAGCCACTGCTGTTTAAGACCTAGACCTAGATAAAAATCATTTGACCTCTCTGCTGCTAAGTTTTCTCATCTCTAAAATGAAGTGGTGGGACTAGGTGAATATTGGGGGCCTTAAAAATTCTAAATCTGCAAAGGACTGAGCCTGGAATCAGGAAGACCTGAATTCAATCTGGCCTCAGACACTACTAGCTATACCACTCTGCCCAAGTCACTTAAGCTCTGTTTGCCTCAGTTTCTTCAAATGGGGATGGGGCAGCTAGCTGGCACAGTGGTTAGAATGCCAGACCTGGAGTCAGGAAGACTCATCTTCCTAAGTTCAAAACTGTCTCAGACACTTACTGTGTGACCCTGGACAAGTCACTTAACCCTGTTTGCCTCAGTTTCCTTATCTGTAAATTGAGCTGGAGAATGAAATAGCAAATCACTCCAGTATCTTGGCCAAGAAAATCCTAAATGGATTCATGAAGAGTCAGATGTGACTGAAATACTGGACAACAACAAAAGCCTTGGTGGGGACACAAACTGTTAGGGGATAGTATGTGGATGATGATTCAACAAAAGAAATTGGAAAGGAGTGATTGGACAGGCAAGAGGCAAGTCAAGAGATAGCAGTGAAGTAGGAGGAACAAGAAGAAGAAGAAGAAGAAGAAGACAATGACAAAAAACTAAAACTATGGATGAGAGAATATACAGGAAGGGGGGTGATTAGCAGGGATGCTGTAGGGATGTCAAGAAGGATGAGGATTAAGAAATTTCTAATGGCCTGGGGACCGAGAATGGAGAAGTATATACTGTCCTATAACAAAGATATTCCCTACCAAAAACACATACCTTGCCCATGTACAAACACAAGCCAATTTTTTCCATGGTCAATAGACAATGGCCTCTTCATCCCATCCCACAAGCCCTGCCATGAGTTCTCAATGTCTGACTCCCATCACACGAGGGTTGGAGATAACTTTCAAACTTTCAAAACCCACCAAGGGAACTCTCTCTGCTAAGGCAAAATATTGATTCCTGAGAGCCCACCACAAGTGAAAACATCTGTATAACCATAGGCATTGTCCCCTCAATGACACCAGGAAGCTCTCAAGGACTACATAAGTTTCAAAGGTATTCTTGACCTGCAACAGTGAAGGAAGTTTCTCTATCAGGAACTCCCCATGATAAGAGCACAGGAGCAGAACAACCTCTCCTCTCAACGCATATACACAAATCCATCCCAAAGGCCTTTCCTAGTGCATTAGCCACCGTAGCAAGGATTCTTCTATTGAACCCCTTTAAGAATCTATTGGCGCCTATGAACTCTTTTCAGAATAACGTTTTTAAATAATTGAAGGAAGTGCCAAACTTTAGTTAGAGGTTAGTGAAAATAAAGATGTAATTTTTTCCCATCCAAATTCACGAGCCCCCTAAAAATCATATCCATTCTCCCCCTTCCCAGGTTAAGAATCCCTAAACTGTAGAATGATAATTCATAATCATGAGTTTTAAGATTTGTAAAGCACATTCAATCAATTAACAAATGTCCCAGGTACTATGCTGGGTATGAAGAATTCAAGTACAAAGAATAAAAGAATTCCTACTCCCATGGAGGATGTATTTTCTCATAACAGTCCTATTAGGCAGACAGTATAAAATTATTATCTCCTTTTGAAGATAAGGTTACCTGATTTGTCTATCATTATATAGTAAATGTCCAACGTGGGATTCAAACTCAGGTCTTCTGACTGTATCCATTTGTAGTGCACAAATTACTCCATGGAAGGACACTAGGAATAATGGAAAACACTGAAACTCCTGCCCTGGGCTTTTTGATGGCCTTCAGTCCATTGGATAATTAAGTTCTGTGTGAGGTGCTATGATATGTATATACCCTAAGATAGTTATCCCTCCAGCAAAAGCCTCCATGGAATGCACTAGGCATTGCCAAGCCATCAAAGACCTAAGGCAGGCAACTCTCTCAACCTCATTAAAGCTCCTCCATGCAGAAGAAACACCCTCTGCCATCTTAGGGGTCCCCAACATACTCACCAAAATGGCTCATTGTTGTTCCTACAAGCACTTTCTCTAGCATCAACCCTAGACCACCTGTCTGGTGTTGTACCACATTTTCCAGTTACCAGCCTCCTAGACTGTATTCTTCCTCATTTAAAGGTATTAATTTAGTTCCTGGTTTTGGAAGAACTTCCTGGTATTTCTGGGCAATGAAAACTAGCTAACAACTGCCTACCAAGAATGACTGATTTAACAATAATAATTACTGTGACATATATAGCATTTTAAGGTTTATAAAGTTCTTAACACATGTTATCTACTTTGAGCCTCACCACAACTCTATGAGGTAGCAGGCAGCAAAGGAGTTATGATGGTGGTGGTGGTAGTGACGATTGGAGCTATTTCATTGGCATTTGCCGTGGGGGACCTCCTAGAAGAAAACTTCCTCTACCAATGCAGATTGGCAGCTGTTTTGCAATTTACAACCTTAGAGTGCTGCCTGGGACCTGAGACATTAAGCAGCATGACCAGGTTCATCTGGGTGTTCCATCAGGATCTAGCATGGAAAACCCCTGCTCTGGTTTTTAAGAGGGTTTGACTGCGCTCATTTTCAGTTTCCTCTGCTGTATCATCATCCTGTTTATGACAGAGATTTGAACCCTGGGCCATGAAACCAGTGTGTGTCAGATATTCCCAACTCCAAGTCCACTTATCTGTCTCCTGCACACAGCATTACCTAGCTTGAGATGTATTCATGCCTCTGTTCAATGGAGCCAACATTTATTAAGTGATGATTGTGTAACTGGCCCAAGGTAGGCCCTAGGATACAAAAGCAAAAGTGAAGTGATTTCTGACCTCAAGAAGCTTATATTCTATTTCTCCCCATTTTGTAGAATAGGAAACAAAGACTGAGCGAAGGGAGTTACTCATGGTCCTACAGCTAATAAGTATCAGAAATAGGATTCATACCTAGGTCTTCCTGACTCCAAGGCCTGCACTCAGTCTACTATACCTAGGCATTTTGGATGATTGATCAGCAAAATAACTGCATCACTGGCTGAATGCACTCACAATAACACCCTATGTGAGTCACTCAACCAGGATGTCCTCTACATAGATGATGGATTCCATCCATAAAACATGCCCACTGACCCTCTCCCAACACTTGTCCCCCTGGCCAATATCTGGATAGCACATGGGCCAGTTAAAACTCACCCATTCTTTGGACCAGGATAGGGACAAAAGACAATTTAGAGTATGCTGAGAAGGTCCTCTATTCTTCATTGAACAAATTGTGGTTCTCCATTGGGCATCAGTAGAGCCATCCAAAAGGGTGAACCACAGATGACTAGGCTTACCCAAGAACATATCCTCCAGGGGACAATAAAGAACCATAGAACTATAGAGATCCTGGGCAATAATAGCTCATAGAATCTCAGAACCTGAGAACTGAAAGGGATTCCCCTGACTTAAAAGCTTAAATTGGTCTCTTTGCTGCTTCTACCCATTGTTCCTGGTTCTTCACTCTGGGGCCAGACAGAACAAATCTAATCCTTCCTCCATGCAATAGCACTCCACATACATCAATACAGCTATCATATCCCTCTGAGTCTTCTCTTCTCTGGGCTAAACATCTCCAATTCTTTCAAATGATCCTTATATGACATGGAGATGGAACTCAATGCAATACCGCAGATGAAGTCTTGCCACTGGACTCTGATGACTCCGAAGGAAAGAGTGAGGCTGATGACTTTTGCACAGCTCTGCCTCATTTAAATTCAATTCACTTGCAAATTAAGACATCAGCTAGGACGAACAACAACAACAATAACAACGTGACTTGGATACAGAACTCAATACAATACGGCAGATAAAGTCTGATGGCGCAGAGTAGAGTGGGACTATCACTTCCCCTTTCCTTGAAGTTAGACTCTTTAATAGGACCTCCAGTTCTCTCCTGGTCCGGTGGCTTCAGGAAATGTTGCGCTCCCTCCTGAAAGAAAACTCCATCCTCCTAACAAACCTTGGATTAGATGACCTCTGAGTCCCCTTCCAGCCCTGAGGTCCTATGATTCTATAATCCTCTAAGCACAGTCAGAGACCTGACATTTGCTAGCAATTAGAGTTACTAGGGAGTGGGGATGGGAGGAGGGCTGGAGAGCAGGGGAGGGGAGGGAGACCAGAGAGAGTGGGCTGGGGGAAGCAGAAGAGTTTTGTGTCAGATTTCCCTGAGCCCGTCAGCTGAAAGCATCCCAGTCTGCCCCGCCCTAGGGAGTTGCTAACATTTTCTCCCAGTGGGGGCAAGGTGGGTGTGAGCCACCAAAGGGGAGTTTCAGGGGTGTTGTCGAAGGTGGAAGGGGAGCAGGGACAATAGGGGGGCAGTTCACGGGGAGGAAACAGCCACACAAAGAAGTCCTGGCCGCGGCAGTTTCAAAAATACCAAGGAAGTTGATCTGGGCTCTGGCCCAAGAAGTGACGAGGCTGGGAGAGGGAGGAGAAGGAGAGTGAGGCACGGGAAGCCTGGATCACACACTTGGAGTTTGGATGTCTGGTGGGAAAGAGGGTGACTCCTAGCTGATGGGTGAGCGGGGAGGGATGGTTAGAGAGAACAGCTGTGTCAGCTCCAGGCCCTAGGCAGCAAATGCCAGTGGGAAGGAGTCACCGCAGGCTACTATTCTAACCTGGGGCATGAACTAAAATCCTCAAAGCCCAGGCCTTTGAGGGAGCCCTGAGAAAGGTCCAGAGGCTAAGGATGAGTCCAGAAAGCTAATCTCTTCCTCACTGTAGCCGATGGGTTGAGAGGGGCACTAAGATGCTTTGTATAGTGCTATAGGGAGTCACCTGCCATCCTGTCTCGGGCCACCAAAGCTATCCCCTCCCAGGTCATTCCAAGAAGCATCTGAAGCTCCCCAAGAGCCCCTTTCACCACCTTCCACCTCTGGCTCCCGACTTACAACGAGACCATGAAAGGTAAGTTCCGGGCAAAGATGGGGCCTAGGGTTAGGGAGAGCTCTTTGGGGTCAGACCTGCTAGATGACACCTTCTTCCCTGTGACCATTGGGAGAAGCTGGGGACAGGGAGTACAATGGGCTGCTTTGTCTGAAAGGCCGCTGCTGGTGTCCCGGGATGGAAACATTCATGCTCAGGGCAGCAGAGAGGTGGGGGAGGTGTGTCTGTCTGCATTCTAACCACACTGGGAGATCCCCGATTCTGGGACAGCAGCAGCAAGGGAGCAGGGCAGAGAGCATTTAAATAAACAGATGGACAGAAGAGCCCTTAAGCAGACAAATGGCAGGGTGGGGGGGAGATAGGAAGGTGGGGCGGAGAAGTGATGGAGAGTAGTAACCAGGGCAGAAGAGTTCCAGCATCCAAGACACACAGGAAGTTATTTCTCTGATAAGGTGTCTGCTTTTCCTCTCATCCAGAGTCAGGATATTAGAGCAGTCTGGTCCATCCTTCCCCACCACATGTCCCTCCAACTCCCATACCCATTTTACAGATGAAGAAAGTGAGGCTTAAAGAGATTACCATTTGAATCCTAGAGGAGCTCTAACTTCCAATGTCAGCAACTGCAACCAAGCAGTGAGATTGGATAAGGAGAGTGGTCCCAGTTGCTCCTGCCCCATAACAGCGCAAAGCATTTGGCCATCACTAGTCTAAGTAACAGCTCTGCCATCTGCCCCTAGGAGTGATTCCTAGAAATTGGCTGCAGGAGATGGCCAGCAGCCCCACCTCCTTACTTGGAAAGAACTCCAGCAGGATGGGAGTACCAAGAGAATGATGGTCCAAAGCTCCTAAGCCCTGCCTATTCTGTAGCTGCTCCCCCCGCCTTACTCCTGACTTCCTCAAATTTCTCTCCAGGTCTTCCCTGTCCTCGTCCTGACCCTACTCTGCCTCTCACCTACATCACTCTCTACAAATAAGTAGCTAGGGCCAGAGCTAAGCAGGGCAACCTGCACAGCCAAGGAACTGAGCCCTTCGCCACAGGTCAATAGGGATTTCATCGTGGAAATGTTTTTGATGTTAGGATCAAGATTGAAATGGAGCCCTCTCCTCTGCTATATCTCTTCTTCCCACTACTTCTTGTCCCTTAAATCTGTCATAAGTGCTAATTAGTACTGGCCCAATCTCCCCAGTGTGGGCCAGGAGGAGAGATATTGGAAGAACTTGGCAGTCACAGCGAACAGAGGTCTTGACCCTCACAGAGGTCTTAGAAATCACCTGGTCCTGCCTCCTCCTTTTCTTTATTTTAATATATATAATATGATATATTTATAATATATAATAAATGTATTATAAATATATATATTAACCTTGGCTAAATAACTTTGTAAGAAGTCCTATTTGCTTTCCTATCCCCTTCTGTTCTCTTTTCTTCTGCCTATTCTTTTATTTATTTTTGTGGCTATTATCATTTTTATGTAATGTGCATATACATACTCTGCTTTCTTTATTCACCATCACTTCATGTAAGTCTCAACATCTTTCTTTGTATTCAGATTTGTAATTTCTTACTGTGCAATAACATTCCATCATAGTCATATACCACAACTTGTTCAGCCATGTCCCAACTGTTAAACATCTACTATGAGCTATTTCTAGGTTCAGAATTTTTCTTCCTTTCTCCCTTCTTATCTTTTTTCTCCTTCCTTTCCTCCCTTCTTCCTTCTTTTTTCCTTTCTTCTTTCCCTATTTTCTTCCTTTCTTTCTTCCTATCTTCTTTCCCTTCTTTCTTCCTTTCCTCTCTTTCCTTCTTTCCTCTTTTCTCTTTCCTCTTTTCTGTCATTTCCTTCTTTCTTCACAAATGAAGTTGCTATGGAGAGTTTTATACAGATAAGAGGAATTTTTTTCCTTTATCCATAGGGTGTAATCCTCTCCATCCCCCTTATTTGACAGATAGGGGCAGTAGAAAAAGCACTAAATTTGTAGAGTACATGCTGGCTCTGCCACTTATCTATGTGACTTCAGACTAGCGAACCTCTCTGAGCCTCAGTTTCCTTCTCTGTAAAATGAAGGAGGTTGGGCTACATGACCTCTAAGTCCCTTCTAACACTAAATGTATGCTCTTATTAATTCCTATTTTATTTATATAGAACTTAAAGTTTACAAAGTATTTTCCATATGTCCAACAACAGGGACAGCTCAATATAAGAGAAGAGTATTGTTCCATGACAAAGTGTAAGGAAAGACTCAGACACTCAGTGACCTGCTCCTGGATATATGGGTCAATAACAGAGCTAAGCCAAGAGCTCTTTCCACTATACTACGGAACATATTTCTTTGTGTTCAAGATCATATCATCATAACCTTGCACAACCAGAAGTCTTTATTACTTACAAAGTGCTTCACAGATATTCTCAGTTTCTCATAAATCTAGAGCTGGAAAAAACCTTAGATATCCCCTAGTCTAATCCCCACTTTTTACAGGTGAAGAAACTGAGGTCAGAGAAATTAAGTGACTTCTCTAAGGTCAGGTGGAAAGGTAATAAGTAGAAAACCGGGACACAAACCCATTCAAGTCATCAAGTCAAATCAACAAGCATCTATTAAGCAACTACTATGTGCCTGGCACTGTGCCAGGTCCCACAGTGCTCTCTTCCATTGTGCCACACTCCCTCCCCAAAACCCTTCAAGGTATCATCCACATTTTGCAGATGAGGAAACTGAGACTTGGAGAGAATTGAAGACTTGCCAAGTAGTGGTAAGGGGTAGAACTCGGAGTTAGTTCCCACCTCATAAAGTCCAATGCACTACCCAGATCTGTACAAAATCCCATCTTTCCATTACCCTTTCTATGTGGTTCCCCTTTGTGAATAACAAAACTGTTTCCAATCTCAGGGGTTTCCAGGGGAGGGAATTCAACCAACTCTATTCTATAGCTTCCTGGACACCCAGATCTCAGGGGCCATTGTCAAATCTGTAAGAAGGTATTGGTTATTTATTACCTGAAGGAATCAGGAGGTGCTTTAAGCCCTGATTGGGACCTTACCTCTGGCTGCTGGACCCACCCATGACCAAGCCTGGGATGGTGGCAAGCCTAGGTCCGACATCCCGTCAGGGTGGCTTGGGTTCTTGCCAGCATTCCAGGCATAAGCATCATAAGATAAAAATAATGATAGGGTTGGAAATGATGGAGGCCTTTGCCTTTAAAGACAGAGCCCCAGTCTGCTGATGTAGCACCGATGCAGCCCAGTTCCAAAGGAGAGAGGAAATCCGTAACTTAAGTCATCTGGGCATAGTGGAATGAGTAGTGCATTTGGAGTCCGAGCAGTGGGTTGGAATCCCAGTTCTGCCATAGCCTGTGGGACCTTGTTTAAGTTCCTGAACATCCTCTGGTGTCAGTTTCTTCATCAAAAATAAGAATGTTGAACTAAGTGACCACTAAGGTCCACTCTACCACTAAATCTATGATCCAATGAGTCTTTATTTTAAAGCAGTGGTATCAAACTCAAATAGGAATGGGGGTCACTAAGCCACACATAAGGATGACTGCCGACTGCATATTGACTTAGAAAACCACATGTCAACATTATCTGGGTTCTATTATATTTTGATTTATTTTGTTAAATATTTCCCAATTACATTTTAATATGATGCAGGCCCACTCAAGAGTGTTGTGGGATACGTCCCATGGGCCATTTGTTTAATATCTCTGTTCTAAGGTCTCTTCAAGTTCTAAAACCCATGATCCTTTACCCTTTACAGGGGGTAACTCAGAAACGAAATCCAGGTTTGGAAGATTAAGGATGACAGATCCTGGGTTTAAAGCTAGAAGAGACCTTAGAGGTCACCTAGTCCAACAACCCCTTCATTTTACAGAAAGGGAAACTGAGGAACAAAGAAATGAAGTGACTTACACATGGAGTAAATATCAGAGCCAGGGTTTGAAGTCAGTTGTCTAATTCTAAATCTAGAACTTTTCCTATTGTACCATTTTGCAGAACGGTGTGATTGTGAAATGAGAAGGAGGAGGGGGAGAAAGTCCCAGAAATAACATTTTGAACCTTTAGTAGAATCAATCAACATGCATTTATTAAGCACCTACTGTGTATCAGGCACTGTTGCCAGGCACTGGGGATACAAACACAGAAATGAATCAGCCTTTCCCCTTGAGAAACTTATATTCCATTAGGACAGACATCCACTAAGATATTTCTTACTTGACCAAGGATGCTTCGTTAACTGTTATAATCAAACCCAAGTCCTACATTTCCTATCACGCAGTAGGTTCTTCAACGAATGATTGTTGAATAGAATTGCATTGAATCACTCCCACTCCATCACCAAGAATAAAGAGCCTCTTCCTTAAGAGCAGAACTTTGGAGTTTTGCAGGGAGGCTTGGCACTACCACCGTCAGAAATCAGAAATGCTATGGGACTCTTTCTGCAGTCACACAATGGATAACTGTAGACAGAGCTTTAACTAGGGCAGAGCAATGTGGGCTTTGTACCAAGGTGCCAAATTTAGAGGCAGAAAATGGAAAGAAAGAAGTCAGAACCCTGTTAGCAAGAAGAATGACTGAAAATAGGAAATCACTAGGTGGCCTGCTTCCTCCTCTGGTAGTTGCATCCCAAGTGAGCTCCTCCTCAAGCATCTCTCCACTCTACACCTCTTCCAGCAACAGTACCCCCGCCTCCAGGCAGCAGCAACCTCAAAGTGTCCAAAGGCCTCCACTGACCAGGGTCATCAGTGTCTTGGTTTAAAAAGCTGATTGAGGGTGAGTTTCATGGAACTTACTTTGGAGATGGCTTATAGTGCCCAGTCACAAAAGTCCCTAGTTACAGCTTTGACTTGAGACTAACTCAACTGGTTCTTGGTTTTCTGTTTGTTTTTGTTTTTGAGCCTGGGTCTTCCTATGTCATCCAGGCAAAAAGTGTAGTGACCACTCATGAACCCAAACACAATATCAATCAATACAAAATGTTTGGCTTTTTGGGGGGGATGGGGGAGTATTTGTTTATTTTTACAA